TAACCACGCGAGTGTGGGTTCCTAAACCTACATAATTTGTTTCGAAAAAAAAAGTTATTTATTTATTATTACAAGGGGAAAAAGTAGTTGATTTTAGCTCCAGGTTGTGTTGTACAAAAAACCGTGAGCTAAAATCTAATATTTTTCCCGTGTATAATACACTATTTTTTTCTGTGACAGAAGAAAGGACGAATCAATATTGAGAAGATATTACATTATTTTGAAATCTGAAAATTCTCGACGTGAAATTTTAAGTTTTTAACAGTAGGAACACCTGCGTTGTAGGCATCTTTATCATTCTTTTGAAGTAATCAAATATCTGATGTCACTTCTGTCAGTCTAATTCTGTGATTTGATTTCAAAAATTGAGAATTAAGTGGTTGTTTATATAGTGATATAGGTACGTAACCGCGAAGTCGAATGGAAGATAAAAGGACTTGCAGTTCTTTCTAGGAGACGGTATTATTGACTCATTTTTCGGAATTATAGCACAGCAAAAGCCATCAACAGTGTATATATATGTGATATAACAGTATGATGTAAATGTATGGAATAAATTCATTTCAAAACAAGACGACTTCCGAAAAAAATTCAAAAATAAGTAGAGTTCAGAACTTTTTTATCGATGTATTTTTTCAACTAGACGACCCTTTCGATGTTCAATTCTCAGTAGAAGATCTCTGCAAGATTCAGTTAACCAAATGATAATCCATTTTAATTTCAATCTTCTTTTGCAAAATTTTGACTATTGGATAGACGATCGTCAGTAGACCTTTCAAACGAGGTGTCACATGACCCCTGTTTATATTTAAAAAAACCGTCCATTACGTCATTACTCCAACACCGGTGACGTAACATCTCTCATATGAATGTCATGAGATGAGGTTTCAAAAATTAAAACTCACGTGTTTTTGGAATTTCTTCAAATGTCGCCCATTTCTGTAATAATTAATTTATGCCATACATTTGCATCATACTCATTTCCCACGGGAAAAAAGTAATTTATGAAAAGTGACATTTTATAACCTGCCAACAGAGATGAAATGCCAAACTTTTTTCCCGTCACAGAAAAAAAGGAATTTTTCGATGATCTTCGATTGAACGAGTTGTATTTGATAAGATTATATAACTCTGGCAAACTTTTATTTGCGCATATTGAATGCCCATTCCGTGAGGATATCCGCATGTTTTTCATCGTATGTATTTTCTCTCAGTTGGTTATTTCGTTGTTTGCAAAATTCTGTGAATTGTTTCCAGAAAAGTACTACTAGGTATAGTTCTCCCCGTGAGTTTGTAATTCCTGTAATTTTGTTCAATCACCAACTCGATCTTGATGGGCAATCTTACAGGCTAAAAAATCTCTGGGAAGACATTGCGGAAAAATCCAGCTATATATATTTTGGTAACGGCAGTAAATGTTGCCAAAAAAACTTGATATTCTTGCACACATGTGGCGTTCGTACGCATAGCGTTTACGAAGGTGTTTTATCGATTCGGTGGGAAGAGGACGGCGAAATTAGAGAATGACAGGAAAGTGAGAAGGCAGAAAGCTCCAGGAGCAGACAGATCGGTCATTAAACTTTGGATAGTCTGAGCTGTGATGGTGTGGGCAAAGATATCTCGAAGCCCGAAGCAAATGGGCAGAAACGCTAATAAAAGCATCAAGTCACATGATGTAATCAACGGGTATCCTAGACAAAATTATCATGCGAATCACTGAATTGTTTTGGAGTTAGTACAGTGAGGAAAAATTGTCTTTAACAAAAATAACTTTTATCATGCGTCTCCCACGCTGTACAGAATGGCGACCGATAAAGACCAAGTGAATAGCTAACGAATGAAAAACGAATGAAAAAAATCGAAGAAGGAGTGAAAACTGGTGAACAAAATCATACATAACCATTAATGCACTCGGAGCAGGAATGCAGAAGGTAGTTGGCTTCATTCTGACAGGTTATGGTTACGTTATTTATGCATTGAAATATCTCGAATAGAGCTCGATCATAAGCGAAAATATCATTGAATCAATGAATCAATATCGACTACATTCCATGATACTATCCTTCCTAATTTACTGCCATCTGTCAGATGAGAAAGAGGTCGACACCTATGGCTCCTTCCTCTTATTTATTCGCGAAAATCACGAAGTGTGCGGCCTCTGGTGGCTAACTGTACAAGTCTTGCGAGTATGAACAACAATAACAACAAATATGGCGACCATTGTTTTGAGTTTCATAATTATGTGTTTTACCTCATTTTTCCCTGATGAAAAAACTCGAATTATTGCATGAACTTTTATTGTTTACAATGAAGAAACCAGTACCTACCTTATAATAATATAATATACATTTTCTGAAGCACAATTAGAATCATTGTATAAATGTTGGTTGCAATGATTCGATCTTGAGAATAACTTCAAGTCCTCAATTGCTGGAGATCCTTGTTTATGTAAATCGATGATATTGCTCATTCTGAGCAGCCTCTCCAACCATATCTTCTTTCTCAACCCCTTCACTAGAATTCCATCTCCTTCATAAAAGCCAGTGATATTTCTCATTGATGAATTCAATTATTTCTTCATACCTATACCATATTGTTGTGATAGTTGATTCCTTATGGTTCCATTCCAATCCATGCAAGTGTTGAGTGGACCATTCCGACCATTCCATATGTTTGAAAACTGTGGAATTGTAGTGTGATATCAATGATGAATACCACCATTGTCCACATCGAAATGGCAATTTCTCTGCACAAAAAGTAATTTTTTCCACACTGGAAACCTTGTACGTATTTCACGAAGTCATTTTATTATTCACTATTTTGCAAAATGATTTCGAAATAACCAATTTGCAATGAGTGCATACGGCAATGTTTTTGTTGTTCATACTCAGTTCGAAATTTGACGTTGATTTGACGTTTAATAGAGCCATCTATTGGTTCGTGATTTTCGCGAATTGTGCCTGTCAGTATTTTGAGTGGTGTGGACGGCATATACGTATTAATAAACAATACGGATCATAACGGGTACCAGGATGAAGCCAAAAATATGAAACAAATGAATATCCATAAGGATTTGGTGGCATGATACGCATGCGCCATGCGCTATTATAGTAGTCATCAAAGACATGCGTTTCGGTGGACAATGACGTTTACTAGCCTTTCAATCAAAGCAGTATGTGTCTGATCGTTTCAAAACTTTTCCTTATGGATAGTCATTTGTCTTCAAAAATCGGCTTCATGTTTCGCTATGGAAACAGATAGAGATTATCCGTATTGATTATTAATACGTATATGGTGGACGGACTCAAAGTATTAGGCGCTGTTGCAAGATATAATCTGCAACTTTCTTAGAAAATAGATCCGTTTTATTAAGGAACGAATTCATTAGCAAAAAAATTACTAACAAGTTTTGAATAACATTGTAATATAACGATAGTGGAAAATTATAGATACTATCGGAAAATATAATAATTTATCTTTATTAGTAATCAACTTATTCATTCAGCCAATGAGAAGTTGATGGGAATTATTCATAATACTTGACATAGTAGGATTGAAGAACCTATATTATATCCCATTGCTGTTATGATATAGTTATTATGCATTCAAAGAATAATTTCCGGGAATCTAGACATATGACATATTTATGATGTCGGTAACGTCTTACTGGCAGAGGGTATCGTATTCTAACTCTGTGTGAATGTGGATTTTCAGAAAGTACGTACTAGGAATGCTGGAGGAGCCAAGTTCCTCTTCTATTAATTTTTTTCTGAAGTGGAATTTGATCTTACGAAAAAAGAAAAAATACGTATACTGGGTGTCCCAAAATTGCTGGGACACAGAGCTACCACGTGTAGAGCACAGAACTGTAGAGGAGGTCAAAATGAGTTGATTGGACCAAATTTATTTATGTGCCAAAATTACCGTTTGTCCTTGAGAAGGGTTCGAAGTTCATATAAGAAAACACATGTTTGTACGCTGTTCAGAAATAAGTGGAACGAATTTGATGAAATTTGGCAATAGTGTATTTCAGAGCATTACATTATTTGAGAGACCTTTTTTTTTTCTTCGAAACTATGCAGTATACGGAACTTTTACAGAAGTAATAAAATGAAGGTAATCGATTAGTCTTCAAGCTCAAAAAATTTCAGAACCGTATTATGACCCCCTAAAAAAGTTCTGAAAAAAATTTCAGGAGGTGAGGGTGGTGACCCTTCTACAATTTCTTTTAGGTTTCTTCGATTACCAGAAGGAAAGTAATCCTCTGAAATACTCCATTGCCAAATTTCATCAAATTCGTTTCATTTATTTCTGAACAGCGTACAAAAATGTGTTTTTTTATGTGAACTTTGAACCCTTCTCACGGACAAACGGTACATTTTGGCACATAAATAAATTGGGTCCAATCAACTTGTTTTGACCTCTTCTATACGTGGTAGCTATGTGTCCCAGCAATTTTGGGACACCCTGTATATGATATATATTTTTTAATGGCAACCCCAATTCAGCACTGAATTTAACGGACGCACTGTATACGAACCCTATGTGTGATATATTTTTGAATTCAGCTTTTCATGGGCATTTCAAAAGTCCACTCATAAATGTGATGAAATCGTGAATCAAAAATCGACCTCTTTCATATTCTGATAGAATGTGTTCGGATACCAGCGTACATATTTGCGTGGAGTTGAATAGTATGAAACCATTTGATCACGCACCATCCAAATAAACATAACCTAACAATGTACAGGTCCTCCTGATCCACAGACCACTCCTCACAGATATGGGGCGAACCTATTTATAGATTTATATATAGGACAACGAACGAAACAATAACCCAGACCACATAATTTTGAAATCCAAATGAAATACTCTGTACTCGCGACACAAATGTATGTCAGCGGTCGTACGTGAGAACCCTTCTGTCACATATATGTGACGCCTGGTAGCGAACGTGTTAATTATAGGAAACTTGCCCATTGCAGAACCGCCCGCCGACGATGGAGTGCGGTGTGACGGGCGCGTTCGCCAACGGGGCGGCCGCCCAGCCGCCCGCGGGCATCCTGGGGGCGGCCAATGCGGAGGGCAGGTCGCCGGCGCGCGTCGGCCTGCGCGTCAACTTCCAGGAGAAGGGGGAGATCAAGGAGAAACGCGAGAAGTTCCTCACGGCCAAGTACGGCCACCATCAGATGAGCCTGATCAGGAAGCGGCTGGCGGTGGAGATGTGGCTGTACGAGGAGCTGAAGAAGCTCTACGAGAACAAAAACAAAGCGACGGTGAGTTCTTCAAACTTTGCCATTTATGTCATGGTATAGTTTATGCGAAGTCAGTTGAAATCTCCCGTTTTTAAGGACGATACGAAGATTTGTCGATTTGCGTAACATTGGAATAGGAATGAATGAGATAATAGAGAGTTGAAGTGTTGTCATGAACGTTAACGCAAACGTAGAAATTGACAGCTACGCATGCGCATTTTCCAATTCTTCACGTTTGCGTTGTTAGTGGGCTTACGGGTGTACGTTATCTCACGTTCCTTCACGTATACCGTTAACCAAAGTAAACTCGAAATATGCCGATGAGTCAAAATTATCAAATTCGAGATCACCAACGAGTTCTGCATCAAGGAGTCCTCTAATTTTGACAGGAATAAATGTTCGAATCTAAACACACAACCAAAAATGACCAATACAAACCGAAAACAAAATGTATTATTATCTTATGATGACAGTGACGACCAAAGTGGCGACTTCAACTCAATTTAACGACAATACGTAAACGTTATTTTTCGTACGTTAACGTCGACGTGGAGGTCTACGTACAGTGATTACTTCAACTCTCTATTTTCTACTGAGCTTTCCCGGTATGCAACCTTTGCAGTCAACGTGGACTGGACGAGCGTTGTCATGCTAAAAACCGCGTCTCATTGGTTACTCCAATCGTAGATATTTCGTCCCCCTATGAAGATCGTAGACCATCGGCAAGAATATCTACGTAAAATAAAGGAATACCATGAAGCGAATAGACCTATAATTTATCTAAATGAAATGTGGTTCGACACTCAAGACGTTGTTCAATACGGTTGGGTAGATGATAGCAAAAACTGTAATGTGAGTGGTCCGAGTTCGAGAGGCAAAAAGAATTATAATCCTTCACGCCGGCAATGAAATAGTTATTTATTATACAAGGGAAAGAAGTAGTAGATTTTAGCTCCAGTTTGTGTTGTCTCCCGACGCGTAGCGGAGGGAGACAAAAAACCGTGACCTAAAATCTAATAATTTTCCCGTGTATAATACAGTATTTTTTTCTGTGACAGAAGAAAGGACGAATCAATATTAAGAAGATATTACATTATTTTGAAATCTGAAAATTATCGACGTGAAATTTTAAGTTTTTAACAGTAGGGACACCTGCGTTGTAGGCATCTTTATCCTTCTATTGAACTAATCAAATATCTGATGTCACTTCTGTCAGTCTAATTCTGTGATTTAATTTAAAAAAATTGCGAATTTAGTGGTTGTTTAGTAATATACATAACCGCGAAGTCGAATGGAAGATAAAAGGACTTGCAGTTCTTTCTCGGAGACGGTATTATTGACTTATTTTTCGGAACTATATCACAACAAAAGCCATCAACAGTGTATATATATGTGATATATATCCGGGAAAAAAGTACTCACTTTTTCCCACGGGAAAAAAGTGACACTTGGTGACGTTGGCAATCAAATGGGTTACAGGATGTTTTCATTAATTAATTTTGAATTTACCATTTTCATTTTCAGATTTCAGTAGTGAATACCATGTTCTATCTATATCAACTGAACAGGAAGCAATGCTATTATTTCCGTTCAGAAGAATGCAAGCAGATTCCTTGATTTTTCTCTTCTGGTTGTTATCTTCAAGATTAATTAATGAAAACATCCTGTAACTTATTTGATTGCCAACGTCACCAAGTTTCACTGGTAACTGAAAAGTGTCAAGACAAATACGAATTTGCAATACAAAAATCCATTTTTTATGTCGAAAACGGGAGCAGATTCGTTCCCAAAACGTCCAAAGATAAGTGAAAATTTGACATTTTTTCTATATACCTTTATTAGCTAGTGCATTATTCTTTTTGGCTCTCTGATAGGAAAATTCTTTAAACGCAGTGATAGCCGGACTTGGAAAACTCATTTCATTTTTGAATGTCAAAATTTCGACTTTTTGAATCGTATTTTTCAAAAACTTTCAACAGAATCAGAAAGTTCCGGAAAAACACTAAAAGTGTAGCTTCTCAATTCGTACGGCACACTTCGATCGGATTAGTGAAAAATTATCAAACAAAATTCAGACGAATATTTCTTCGATTTAGTCCTCCCCGATTTCTATAAATTTCTGCATATCAAGATCTCCTATGGTTTCTCGAATAATTTGCCTATTATTTCTGATCATATCTGAATCCAGTTCGAGCTCGTGATTGGCTCACCTTCTTTTTCTTGGTAGTTTATGTCAGTGGGTCACATTCCCTATTTCTTCATCAAAATAATATTTTTTCTTTCGTGTGAATTTGGTTCAGCGTTCTCGAAGTACCAAAATTTTCATGTAATTATTTCAATTTCATTCGGGAACTACTTCAACGGCCCCTACGCGATGCTACGATCATCTATAGAAAATTGAAACCCTGTACAAATGCGAAATATTGTGGTATATTTGAATCTGTCAAATTTTGACCTCGAACCACTCAAAAGTTTCAAAAGCTGCTCGGTTCTCGTGGTCACCCTGTATCATCCATGCAAACCAAATCAATCATACAAGTTATTTTTTATATTGTACTTAAAGCAAACATCCTGTGAAACATGTTTAAAGTTTGATGGAACGTCAGCACAAACATTATTTCTGCCAGATATATAAGGTGTTAATCGCTGAGTGCACGCTCTGTAATCTCGAAAGGATTCGTTTCATTTTTTCATGTGAACATACACGATAAAATAACATCGACGATGTCTCATCGCAAAGTCATTCACTCTTTGCGTAACCATGTTCTTGTGTCGAATCGGATTCCCACCAGTTTCACACAAAGATCTTGGTGAAGCGGATATGATGTCATGATATAATGTATGCTACTCATGACTAAGAATAACAAAACATCTATAGATACCTTTGTAGTTTGTTCCAGCACAAATAAAACAAACCTAGAAACTATAGTGCCATTCATTTTGTTACTCATACCAAAACGAAGGATTATAAATACTGGTGCGGAAAATTATCACATTGAACCAGTCACACATACTGGGTGATTTCAAGAAGGGAATTAGCCCTGTATACCGGGTGTAACAAGATCATGGTACAGCCTCTTTTTCTTCCTTTGTTTTAGAGATAACTGATTGAAATTTGGAATGACCGATCAACCCAAACATACACTGAAACTGTTGGATTATGTCAAAAAAAGGGCAATTCGTCTCGTGATGCCTCGCTCATAAACTCACTCACTTCTCTGGAACATCGTAGAAAAGTTGGCGATCTATCCCTATTCCATAGATATTCTCATGGACGATGCTCTTCTGAAATATCAACAATTGTTCCTCCCTTGGCAGTCCCTGCGAGATTAACCCGTCGAGTAGAGGCTTCGCACCCCTTCGTGGTCACTTTGGAGACCTGCAGAACATCTCTTTCCAAAGACTCGTTCATCCAACGAACAGCGAGACTCTGCCAAGGGAGGTGTTCCCCGAGGCATATAACCTCCAGAAATTTAAGAAGAACACCAATTTCTACCTTATTTCCCTTGGTTCTCACGATGTTCTCTGAACATTACAGGTTATCCCTTTTCATGGGAACCATACATAAAGAAATACTTGATAAACTTCATGTTTAGACATAAATATGTTTTATTTTCCACTTCCAATCTCACCGGAAGTGGCAATCACTTTTGATTTTCAAATAAACACCCTGTATATTATTGCATTTTCGAAGTCTGCATCATTTTCTGAATCTACTGATACCACATAAGTGACATTTCGAACTTCAACAATGATTTCAATTCAATTTTTCATCTTCCATCTGAGTGTGCCATGACTATTCTGATCAAGTCTGATGTAATCATTTCGACAGTTGTAATGCTAAAAAATGTAGTCCTGTCAAATTCCTTGATTTATCAGCAAATTAAGAATTAAGTTCATCAAAATGGTTTGGTGTACCATGATCGTGTTACACTCGGTATACCTAATGATTGAGCAATGGTTAATTTAAATCCAGACGCGAATCCAAGCGATATACGAGGGGGATGGAGCATGGAAAGTCACGGCTCATTAAGGTTAGCAAGAAAGAGGCATTTTGATTGTTACCTTCTGAGGTGGTATTCAGAATATCTAAATTTTTACATATTCTTTAGTTTCGCGAGGGGGGCATGACCCCTATGCCCCCATACCTGGATCCGCCCCTGTATTAAATCTCAAGCGATCAAACGGGCACATCTGTGCTTTAGTCCCTGCTTTAGGGACTTATAAATTGGAGCATACTTCATTTCCAGAAGTAGAAGAATCATGTTATCTGTCAAGGTTCACATTCGCACGACCCTGGAGGTAAAACACATTAACACAACCTCACTTTTCTGTAAAACATTAAAACACAACCTCACTTTTTTTATTTGTTTAGAGAGCAATCGAATGATTGAAATAGTGTTTCACAATATTTTGGCTTACGAACCGTGTTTTTTGCCCTATTCATCAATTCAAGCATTGTCTTCTCATTGTGCTGTTGTACAATGCACAAAAAATGAAGCGAGAGATGAAGGAATATGATTTTTCAGGTAAATAGTAATCTCACATAGTTTTCATTGTGAAATTTTGTCATTTCTCATCAAAATTCCTTCTGCCATTTCTGCAATAGAAGCTAATACTGATTACCTACTGCTAATAGATTGAAAATGTCTACAACACACACGATCATATTTCGTCAGCATGTCAGACCGCAGTCCTCCCGTTTGATTGTATGAATCCAATCTTTTTGCATTCTTTTAGAAATTTCAAGAGTATTTCTATTAGCTCCTACTGCAGAAGGAATTCCGATAAGAAATCAGAGAAATTACCAAATTTCAAAACGAAAACTATATGTGAGTGATTATAATAGTAGTAGGTACTTACTTTTAAATCATATGTATCAACCGGATTCCTTATTTGTCTCTTGCTGCATTTTTTGTGCATTGTACAACAGCACAATGTGATGAGATGTTTTAATAATCAATGAATAGCCGAAAAACACGATTCGAATGCCAAAATGGTTGTGAGAAACTATTTGAATC